CCATATGATGTTTGATTTAATTAGCCAGCGTGTGATCAAGAATAACATGCCATTGCTTCGCGATGACAACCTGATCCATGTTTCGCCATCTTCACTGTCAATTTTGCTTGCAAGTGGTTTCAAAATCGCCTGTTCTGTTCTATTTGATAACCGAATTGACAAGATGGTAAAATGTTTCCAGATCATTCAACTTTGTATTGCATCATTGCACTGGAAAGTGAAGGTGGTTGCAGATGCAAATTTCATCGCTAAGTCCCCAAGTCAACTTTATTACATACATTTGATGCTATATGTGGTTCGACACATCGCTCGTTAAACAGTTTAGTAATGAAGAAAGTATTTTAGCATATCAATCAGATCTAAAGCTTACAGAAATACGTGTCAGCGATGAAGATAACGATGTGATTGTTTTTGCAGCGAAGATCAAGCTTGGGGAGTTTGCGTACCAATTGATAATATATTACGCACGGGTATCATTTCGATGTCATACGAATCCAGCACTGCTTCACAATACGGAGCCCGACGAACTTAGCTAAGTATTTCACAATCGTATTGCTAAAAAAACACTTGAAGAAGATTCGAAGGGATACGCTTTGACTTTTAAGATGTGTTTTCGCTTCAATACAAGTAGTTTGAAGACGAAGTAGAAGATGATTCCGATGCAAATACCGGACAGATGCTGGTATACAAGCTCTATAAATTGGATCACTGGTATGTAAGTGTCTTGATAGTAAATGTCGTTGACAAATTGTCCAATCGTGCAAAGAGCATCGTAAGCATCCTACTGTGATGTACCACACACTGCATATTTTTCTTCTACGAAGCCGTTCGCCATCATGGTGGCTTATCTATAAGCATCAGCGATCAATTTTTCAAATTACTAACAGTTTGTGGAAGTCATTAATGACTAGCATGATAATCAAGCAATCTATGACCACCGCTGGTTTAGTTCAATTTGATGAAGCAACGGAGCGATAGATCGAGCTTTTGACGATGCCAAGTTTCGCACTCTGTCAATGATTGGGCTGATCATCTTACAACCATCGGGTATGCGCATCATTGACGCGTTCAAGAATCCACTAGAATTGCATCGTTTAATAATTGATACAGAAAGCAAGTTGTAAAATTCTTTGATTAAAAGAGTGTTCCTGAAGATCGAAATCGCTGCCGACTTTGCGAATAAATGATATAAGGTTTTGAAGTGTGCCATTGACAAAAAGGCCCAGGTCGTCAATGGTAGCGCTACGGCAAGCGAGCGTATCTTGTCAAGTGCATGGCTATTCCACAGAATCAACATGGGAGGCAGAGAGAAATATCAACTATATTTCCACTACAAGCGTTTGCTCGTGGATTTAAGTACAAGGCAGCGACTTATCGAGACGTCCAGAGAAAATGTAGCGATTAATTATTTAGGATCCGTATCAATAATCTTTGATTTTAATTGTAATTTCGCCGTAAAGGAGCGTCTCCTTTATTATCCAGTATACATATGATTCGTATCGGAACCAAGATAATATTAAAAACAAGAACAAGAAATCAATGAAGAACATTCATGTCCACCGCATGATTACGACAACCATCTTGCGATATGGAATTGAGATTAGAGCAAACTAAGCAATTGGTGATACTTCAGAATATATTTTTTATTAACAGCGCTTGGCTTCAATGCATTCATTACCGACTTTGTGTGTCAAAGTCAAAGGATTCTATGTGCAAAGTGCAAAGCAACCTCGTTGCATTTGGAGAACGCAATTGGTCGGGACGTTGCGCTTGATAAAATGAACGCCTGTCTCAAGTCACGAAACAGTTCCTAGTGGCTCACAATTTTACGATGTAAACTTATTGGTGATACTTTAAGCGAAGCCGCCATTCTTAGTAGATTATCGACAGTACTCTGTGTATCAGGTGAGATTAGACGTCGAGATGTTAAAAAGATGAAGTGACTATGTTAAGGTCCTTAGTTCGCTACTCCGAGCTACCTTTAAGCCTTTCCTATGGCGTCATTCTGGGCAATCATGTCGCGTCATCGTATGCGCAATCACGTCGTCCAATGGTCCGGAGATTCGATTGCGCAACGTATGCTGTAGGCCGTTCTTCTAGCACTCCTCCTCGCGATCGCCCCCACAAGCACTCGCAGCTCTGCAAGCTTGTGCTTGTCTAACGCCTCTGTCAGTAAGTCCGCGAGCATAAGCTCGGACCAGACGTAGCGCATCTCAACGACGCCACGATGAGCAAAGTCCTTAACAAACTCGAGGCGCACGTCGATGTGTTTAGCTTTTAGAGACAAAGTATCTCCTTCGATCTGGCAAATCGTGGCCTGGTTATCCACATGCATCGATAAAGGCTGAGTCGGTGCAAGTCCCACCTCTTTAAGCATCTCTTGAATACCAAGAAGCTCG